TTCCTTAGAAGCAAGAATGGCTAGACTTCATCTCATGCACTTTGGTCATGTTATGAGAAGAGAAGATATCATGCTTGGTAAAGTAGAGGGTCAGTGAAAAAGGGAAAGACACTTAAGGAGATGGATTGAAACAGTGACTGCAATGATGGGCTCAAACAAAGATTGTGAAGATGGTGCACAACTGGGCAGTGTTTCATTCTGTTGTACATTGAGTTGCTACTGACCGGAACCAATTCAAAAGCACCTAACAACAACAACAATCTTATTCAACTTGGGAGTTGAGAATTTAAAACATGAAAAGGTAACTTCTGTAATTAATTTCACACTTCTAATGTATCTTCTCCCAAGGAGTATAAGGAAACCAAACAGGGGAGACTTTTAAAAGAGAGTGGTTAGGGTGGAAAAACCAAGATTGGTCACCTAACTACATATCGTTCAAGGAGACCTCTTTGACAGAGCCAATGGGTAAGATAAGAACAAGAATAAAGGATTCTTAGTTGGGTAAAAATATCTCCCTTCTGAGAAGTTTTCCCATGGCCCCTTTCATGTCTCTTTTCCTCAGGCTGCAGATAAAGGGATTCAACATGGGGTGACCATTATGTACATTATTGAGGCAATTATGGCTTGTCATTGGAGTTGCTCATTGATGGGAAAAAGCACTATATCAAAATTGTCCCATAGAATAGAAAAACCACAGAAAGCTGGAAGCCATAAAGGGAAAATGCTTTACGGATCCCCTTGATAAAGGTAAAGTTCAGGATGGTGGCCCTAGTGTGGCCATAAGAGACTAAAACACCAATAAATGACAAGAGGATGACCAATCCCTCAATACCAAAGATAACCAGCTCATGGAAGGAAGTGTCTGAGTTGGACAGTTTGAGCAGGAAAGCAAGGTAAAAGAAGGGGGTGGCGATGTTGACAGCACAGAAGGATAGTTGAGCCAGGAGGAGGTTATGAGACAGGATCCTGCCAACAGAAATATACACAACTTCTCCCTTATGATGGTGATGTAGTATAGAGGGTGACAGATGGCCACGTACCTATCATATCATGTCATCGCTGCAAGAAAGTTATCAATACAACCAAAAAATT